CGATAGCAACTCCAGACGTGAGTCATTAGGGCAGAGGCTTTCCAGGGGGATGGAGGAGGAGGAGAGAGAGAGAGGTGGAAGAAGGGGAGAAGAGTAGAAGGAAGAAGTGGGGTGGGGTACAGGGGGAGGGGAGTGAGAAGGGGAGAGGGAGCAGCCCCACCCCACTGCTGTGCACTCTGAGCATAGGCAGGAAGACACTGGCTAGTTGGTCAGCTCCATGGGGGGAGAAGAGAGTGGGTTTCTGGGATTCGGGAATTCTCAGGCACTAAGGAACACCCCATCTCTCAGATCTTGCCTCCCCCACCTCCCTGGCACCCCCAGAGTCAGGAGAAAGGATCTGGAGTTTGGAGTGAGAGTCCAGGCTGGCTGTCACTGCTGGGTGACTCTGGCAGGTCCCTCCCCCTCCCTGGCCTGTGTCCTCACCTGTGTACTGGGGACATGGAGGGACAGGGACTTGAGACAGGGGCATGGGCTGAGCAGGTGCTGGCCACCGGTGGCTTATGGCAGGGAGAGTCTCCCCTGCGCCCATCCTAATGATTGGAATCTTGCCAAGACTTGGTCTGGGGAGGCCAGTCCTCTCCACTCTTCCCCAGTAATCCCTAACGGCAGTGGTAGTGATGACGACGCTTCTACATCAGAATAATTTGAAACTAATTTTTTTTTCCTCCTCTGGGATGTTACCGCAGAAGCCAAGAAGAGGCCTCCTAGTTTCAAAGACTCTGAGATACGCCCAACCCAAGCAGCCTAAAGGGGTCGTTCAACACAAGGGGCCCTTACCCAGGAGATGTCACAGCAAATACCTGCCCCTGGCAGAGACCAGGCAGGATGGGGGACCCCTGGAGAACACCAACACGGACAAGTGACTTCCCCAGCGCTGAGGATACTGGACTGGGGCCATTGGGCTGACTCGTCGGAGATAGAGGTGCCCTCCCCAGGCAGTGCAGAGCTCAAACTAGACATGCAGCTGAATGAAGTCAAAGCCCATCAATCTACTCCATCTGGCATGATTTTTATGGAGCACACGCTCTGCCCGGGCAGCAGGCTGAGAGTGGCATGGGAGCGGTCTCAGTGGTCCTCCCAGCCATTCCCTGGCATGTTGCTATTTTCTCCATTTTGCAGAAGGGAAAACTGAGACTTGTTCATCCACAGCCATGTGGCAAGTGCCAGGTGGGGCTGTGAACTCAGGTCAGCCTGACTCCCACACCAGTCCTCTCTGCCTCAGGTGCCCCATGGACATCTGGAGAGGACACTGCCCTGTGGGCCAAAAAGGTGGCCCGGGGCACCTAACCTGAAAGCCACTGACTTAAATTCATCCTTTGGCTCAGTCAAATTTGCCTGAACACCAGGCACCCAGGAGAGTCAAAGATGGATGAGCGGGTAAGGCTCAGGATAGAGAAGCCAGTGGGGGAGGTGACAAGTCCTGAGCAGAGTCCCAGCTGGGGAGACAGGACAATGCACAGCAAGGAGAGAAGCCAAGGCCATAAGAAGAGCGGGACCTGCTGCCTTGGGGATAGATGGACATGAAGGACACCCTAGGGCCTCAGAAAGTCTTAAACAGAGACAGGGAGGGAGGGAAGAGCTGAGTGTCCAGCAGCTTTGGGGTTGAGGCACAATGGCCTCTGAGAGGAGAGACACCTGCAGGGTCAGGGTGAGGGATTGGGGGCTCAGGAGACTACCAGATGCTGATTTGGCGCCACCATGGGGCAGGTGGGAGACAGTGCTGCAGGAGCAGTGGGGGCAGCCCGGGGGGGGGGGTGAGGGGGGTGGGGGCATGGGGCCTGTGCCATGAAGGGTGAGAGGAAAGGAAGAGCAGGGACAGAGCCCTGGGAAACACTGGCATTCCAGGGTGTGGGAGGACTGGAGTGACCGGAGGGACTCAGGGACCATCGTGCATTCATTAATTCATTCATTCCACAGACATGTATGGAGGACCTGCCCTGTGCCAGGCACTGTTCTAGGCTCTGGGAACTCAGTAGTGAACAAAGCACTTGCTTTATCCCTGCTTTCTCGGAGTGCACAGGCCAATAGAAGTGCTTTAAGAATGGGTAGTGATACATGCTAAGAGAGAAAACCAAAGCCAGGTTGAGGGGATACAGAGGGACAGAGGGAGGGTGGTTGTTTTAAATGGAATGGACAGGGGAAGCCTCTCTAAGGAGGGGACATTTAAGCAGAGACCCGAGGGGGGTTGGGTGAACCCTGTGGGCACTTGGGAGAGGGAGTGTTCTAGGGACTAAGGATTTTTGCTTTTATTCTAAAGAGATGGGAGCCCCAGGAGGGTTTTAAGCAGAGGAGGGACAGGATCTAACTTAGGATCCCTCTGTCTGCTGAAGTAATGGACGAGGTAGGGGGTGGGGTGGGCAGGATGGAAACAGGGAGTCCAGGGCAGCAGCCATAATGACTGTCCAGATGGGAGACAGAGGTGCTGGTGCGGGTGGGGCTGTGGAGGTAGGGAAAGCAGTAGGGACGCAGGGCAGAGTGGGCATGTTTTGTGGATGAGGACTTGTGGATGGAGACAGTTTTTGGAAGGATGGTACTGGTCAGCAACATGAAATTTGTCAGGAGATCAAGTTGATGAAGACTGAGCCATGGCCATTGGATGTGGGAGGTGGGATGTGAGAGGTGACTTTTGGAGGAAGGAGTAAATGGGATGTGAGGAAGCAGAGGCAGAGAAGGGTGTGGCTTGGAGAAGAGGCTTGTTTCCTCTGCTTCTCTTCCTCTTCCTTTTTTTCCCCCAATGGGAGATGCTTAGATGGGATTAAACGCTGAGGGAAGAAATCAGCAGAGTGGGAGCACAGGAGGGGACAGTTGGCTTGGGGAGGTGCAGGGGCTGCAGGGGGATGGGATCTACATCCTAGGAAGGAAGAATAGCCTTGGGCCATGGAGGAACCCCTTCTTTCTGAACGAGAGAAAAGTCTTGGGGACTGGTAGATGCACGGATAAAATTGCAGGCGTGGGACAGGTGGATGAAGAGTAGCTCTCCCTTTGCACTCATTTGTCATTGAAGCAGGAGGTCATTGGTCTGGTGAGAGGATGGAGAACAGTAAAGATGGAGGCTTGGGGAGGTGAGGTTTGGGATGACCCTCATGGAACTGGAAACACACAGACTTCAGGGAAGCACGGAGCCCCCATTGGGCTGGCTCCAGTGTGTGAGGCCATGGCCTTCCTGGAGGGGGACTCCAGGATGATGTTAGGTTGGCAGCATTGCAGGGCAGGTGGCGGGGAGGGCAGGTGGGAAAGGGACCATGAGAAGATGGTGAGTTGGGGCTGAGGTCAGGGCAGGAATAAGACCGGAGGTTAAGTGCACATGCACAAGAGTGCAAAGCAGGTTGGTTAGTTATGCATAGGGCAGTTTCTCCACCTTGGGGACACATAAACCCAGGGTGTGCTCAAGGTAATCCTTTGGACAACAGAGGAAACTGTCAAAACTTCAATTTACATGATTTCATATGTCATCTTTTTGAAAATGGAAGGTTCCATTTCATTTTGTTTTATTCCCTGTACTTATATTGATGTGGGGACATGTGCACATATATTAAATAAATATGCATGTATCAGGGACGTAGACATTGTTTGCTGATTGGGCACATGATCTGAACAGTTTGGAAACCAAGGAGTAAGAAGGTAGTGCTCCTTGGAGAGACACCTTGTCCATTGCTGTGCGCCGATTAATACATCTGAGGGCCCTAGGAATCAGTGCGCTTCCCTCCACGCCATGCTGCTCACTGCTCAGACTGTCTTTTGCGCCAGGGGCCTGGGTCTCATTCTCTTCCTCGGTTGCTCCTACTTAGGGGCTCCTGCCAACCCCATCTTGGAACACACAGGACACCTTTCCAGCCCCCATGCCTGTGCCAGGCCACGCCAGCTTCATTCATCTCTGTACCCAGTGCCTTGTCAAGGGCCCGGCACACTGTGTACTCAGAGTGTTTGCCAAAAGGATGAAGACAGAAGACCCTAGAGTGGGCCTGGCCTTGGTCCAGAACAGGGTGGAGTGTCCTCAACTCCTCACTCTCTGCCACCCTGTACCCATTTCATCAGCAGCGTCGATTAGCCCCCTCTCAGAATAAAGCAGAATCTCCCTGAGCCCGGTCCTGCTCCAAGCCTCCATCACCTCTTGCCTGGCAGCTGAGCAGCCTCTTCCTCGGGCTCCCAGCATGCACCCTGCCCCCTACAGTGTATCCTGTTCAGACCAAGTCAGCTGTGTCTCCCCCGCTCCAAGAGCTGCACTGGCTCCTGTGATGCTCAGAGCAAGAGCCAGAGTTCTTCCTCCCAGCGGTCCCCAAGGCCTGACACGACCTGCTTCCCCTCCCCTCCCCTGCTCATGCACCCCTCTCCCCTCTTTCTCTGCTCCAGCAGCGCTAGTCCTCGAGGTTCCCCTGGCACCCTGACTGCCTTCCCACCTCACGGCCTTTGTACTTGCTGGGCCCTTTGTAGTGAATGCCCATCCCGCAGGTACCAGCATGGGCTGCTCCATTATCTTACTTGTTCTCTGGGTTCAGACATCATCTCCTCCAAGAAGTCCTCTGGAATTATCTGACCTCAAGGACCCACCCTGTCATCGTTTGCCCTCTTCCCTCCTTCGTTTTACGTCACCTTCTGACGTAGCAGGTATTTATCACTCATCTCTTCATGGCCTCTTTCCCCTACCAGTCCAGTATTGTTTGTTCTGTTTACTGTTACATCCCTGGCCCCTAGGATGGGTCAGGCCTGTGCTCAGAGCTCACTGATTTGGATTTCGCTCAGATGAGTGAATGAATGGCTGTGAGGGAGCCAGGTTTCCAGCTCTGAGCCTGCCCAGTCTTGCTGTGCGGCGTCAGGGCCATCTCTGTCCTTCTCTGTTTCTCATTACCCCAATCTGTACAATTCAGAGACATGGCTTTGATTAGCCTGGCCTTTGTGCCCTGGGCAGGCCTCTGGGGAGGACGCCCCACCTCTCCATGGAGACAGCCGGAGACCAGCCCCCATGCCTCCTGCCACCACCTCCCTGCAGGCCCAGCCCTTACCTTCTGCAGCCACTGTGTGTTGTTCTCCAGCACCTTCTCCAGCTGCTGCACTCGCTGGGTGGGCCAGTCCCCCAGGTTCAGCGGGGCTGCGGGCGAGTCCCTCTGGAGGCTGTTGGAGCCGCCGAAGGCCTCGGGCTCCGGTGGGCAGGGCTCGGGCTCGGGCAGCACGAAGGTGTAGCTGCACTGGCCGTGCTGGACGCGGTGTGCCCGGCGGCGCCCGCCCGCCTCCTGCCCCCTGCGCTGGGCCACGGTCAGGGCGGCCGCCGTGAGGAGGAGGCTACCCAGCAGCATGGCCGGCCGGGACAGCATCTGGAGATGCGGCGACGGCGACCGTGAGGGCCGTGGGCCCCGAGCCCCCGGGCACCCCGCCTGCCTGCCCACCGCCCGGCTCCGCGCCCGGGCCGCGCCCCCGAGGCCAGCCGCACAGGCCTGCCTGCCAGCCGCAGCCCGAACCCCGCTTGGCCGGGCTCTGTCCAGGCAGCTATTTATATTCGCTCCAAATACCACAGCTGCTCGGCTTCCTCCCACCGCCTGGCTCCCGCCTGCAGACACCCCCTCACCTCGAACCTTCCCCCTCTCCCTTCCTTCCTCCTTACTCCTGCCCACAGCTGCCCTGTCCCCGCACTGGCCCTGCTCGCCCAGCTTGGCCTCGCCTCTGAGTTCTTTTATTATCCAGTGGAGGCCTGGCTTCCCCCTGAGAAAGAAAACAACACACACACACACACACACACGCACACATGCACACACGCACACATGCACACACGCACACGCCAAACCCCCAAAGCTGCCTGCTTCAGAAAACCAAAGGCAACTGAACCCTCTCTTCCTGTCTCTGTCTCTCTCTGGCTCTCTCCAGCCTTCCCCCACCAAAGGCTGGGATCTCAAGTTTCAGCTCCCCTTCCCCTTCCCTCTCCCCCCTACCTTCCCCCTCTGATTCCATGTTAGTGCTTGGAACACAAGCGAAGTGACCCCCAGAGAGAGCAAAGGGGGGGCAGAGGGATGAGGCTGGAGGGGAGGCAGCGAGTCCAATCTTTTGAGAATGTCCTTTTGAGGCCAGTGAAGTGGGCGCTCTAGCCGGGAGCTGGCTCCCAGCCTCCCTTCTCCCTTGGGACCAGGGCGGGGGGCTGGGGGGGGGATGTTATGCCCTGGGGTGGCCCTGGCTCAGTTGTTGTGACAGTAATGAGAGGCTGTCCTGTCCTGGGGCAGATTGTTCTAGGACTGCCTTTGGCCCCGAGAAGGGAAGCGGACTGCAAAGAGCATAGCTTGGGGTAAAGAAGTGCCTCTGCCAGCCCTGGAGTCGGAGGTGGCTGCCTCTAAATCCTGCTCCCCAGCTGCTGACCCTTGGGTGGGCAGCTGAATTTCTCTGTGTCTCCATATCCTGACTGGTAAGCTGGGTAAACCCCATCTCTTACACGGTGAATGTAATGTGGGTCCTCAGCCTGGAGACCGACGAATTTTTTATTTACTTTACCTGTTAACTGGTTTAAATCCTGACTATCCCAGCTGTGTGACTTTAGGCAAGTCACTTAACTTCTCTGTGCCACTGTTTCCTTTCAGTGAACTGAAGAAAATAATACCACCCACTTCAAAGACTGTGAAAATTAGGGGCAACTGGGTGACTCAGTGGTTGAACAACTGCTTTCGGTTCAGGTCATGATCCCGGGGTCCTGGGATCAAGTGCTGATCAGGTTCCTCACAGGGAGCCTGCTTCTCCCTCTGCCTATGTCTCTGCTTCTCTGTGTCTCTCATAAATAAATAAATAAAATCTTAAAAAAGTGTGAAAATTAAGTGAGTTAGAACAGGGACGGCAGGGGGTGAGCACCAAGTAAATACTTCTATTGCTGTGATCAGCGTTATAGTTACTACGTATCCTCCCCTCCCCACACCCACTGGAATATGAACCCTATGAGGGCAGGACATGTTTTGGGGGGACGTGGCCGCTGGGCAGGAGGTGCCCAGGGTGACCTCTTCTGGGTGTGCTGCCTTCTGCCTTCTTCTGGGGCTTTTCCCAGAATGAGGGCCCTACCAGCTGTTTGCCATTGTCTCTCTCTCTTTGTTCTCTCAAATCCTATGGAGTTGTGAATGGGCAGCCTGCTTGGGGGCGGCAGGAACCAGGAGCTCATCTGGACATCTGAGAACTTTAAACCAGGTGTGTGGGGCTTTGGCAGGAAAAGGAAAGGCAGCTGGTTATCAGCCACCAGCATTCACGGAATTTCCTGTGTGCTCAGGACCCTGCTTGCTCACCTGTGCCTCGATTGTCTCAACTGTAAATGGGATCACACCACTCCTGGCCTTGTGAGGAAGAAGCGTGCTAATGCAGGTCAGGAGCTGATCCTGGTGCCTGGCACGAGTGAGCTCAGAGTAAGGGGCAGTATATGAGGATTGTATTGGTTGAGCTACATGGTATGAGCCCGACCAGGCCAGTGTCACTATTGTCCCCATTTTACAAAGGAGAAACCTAAACCCAAAGCAAGAGAGTGGTTTGCCCAAAGTCACACAGCCTGGAGACGCTTGACCTGGAACTGGGGCAGAAAGGCAGGCTCTGCTGCTAGGTGGGTTTGAAGCTCATCTCACTTCCTCCTGCTTACCCCTCTGGCACCGAAGGAGTCAGCCTCCACCCTACTCCTCCCTACCCCCCCCCCCCAGCCTCCAGCCTCAGTCGCCTCCTTGATGCACTGCTGCAGGGAGCATCTACACTACCTGCTGGAGCAGTGGAGCTCCCCCGCTCCCCACCACACACACAATCAGGCTATGCATTTAATCTTACTGACTGAAAGAATGAATGTCATTTTCTTCCCAAGGTCCCATGATTACACAGATGGCTCTCTGTAAAGAAGAGGAAACAGGATTACCTGCTCACTGGAGAAATGTGGGTAGGATCAAGAGAAGAGTTCTGGAAAGCTTGGGAGATGACCCTGGCAGCCTCTGCATCTTCGTTTCAGCACCTATTTCTCACCTCGGGGCCTTTGCACATGCTGCTTGCTCTGTCTAGAGCTCTGCTGTCTATCTATCCCCACCCCCAGCTTTCAGCAGTGTTCTGGTTACCGTGGCTGTCAACCAGTTACCCCAATACAGTGGCTTAAAACAAAAATAACCATGTATTATCTCTCAGGGTTTCTGTGGGTCAGAAATTCAGGAGCAGCTCGCCAGGCATTATGAGGTTGCAGTTGGATGGTGGCTGAGTTAGGGTCATCCTCAATGTTCCTTCCATCAGCACATCAGCCTTCCACCCTCGACCTCAGTCGGCTCCCTTGTGGTCTCTTCAGGTGGTGTCTGCAGCATGATGGCTTCAGGCAGCCAAGCTTTTACATGGCCACTCAGGGCTACAAAGGCGCTTGTCTCCAGAGAGCCAGGTGGAAGTTACACTGCACTTCATGGCTTAGGCTTGGAAACTCTGCCACCTTCTATTGGTCAGGTCTGCCCCATTCAAGGCAGGGAACATAGACTCTGCCTTTTGATGCAGGTCATTGTCCCAAGAAGAGCACACAGGACAGGAATTGCATTGATGTAGCTATCTCTGGGAAATGCTCCAGGCTGGAGAACATGCTCCCCTTGGCCTCTGAACCTTGTTCATGTCATAAATCAGAACCCCCTCTTATAGTACCACGCTTTATCTTAGCCCTTCTCAGGGTGCATTACTCATCCTTCTGTTTGGCCCCGGCCAGATATGTAGTATGTGGCACATTCTCAGTAAATATCTGCTGCATGAATGAATGAATGAGTGAGTGAATGAATGACTGAATACAATGCCAGTTTCTCCCTGTGGGGCAGATGTGAAGCAGGAGATGGGGTCACTGTGGAACCTTCATGGGGCTACTCCAACGGAGCAAGCCCAGCTGACACAGACTTGATAGGTGGCTTCGGGCAGATGGCTGACTTTAGCTTTGGGCTGCAGAGTTCTCCTCCTCAATCAGAGAGTGTAAAGTAGACTCTACCCACGTAGAGATCTCTTGGGAAGGTGAGCTCTAGGGAAAGTTTACAAACTGTCAGGCTGCTGAGGATCTTTTTTTTGTTTGTTTTAAATATTTATTTATTCATGAGAGACACAGAGACATACGCAGAGGGAGAAGCCGGATCCCTGATGCGGGACTTGATCCCAGGGCCCTGAGACCACAACCTGAGCCAAAGGCAGATGCTCAACCACTGAGCCACACAGGCATCCCTGCTGAGGATCTTTTTTTTTTTTTTAATTTTTATTTATTTATGAAAGTCACAGAGAGAGAGAGAGAGGCAGAGACACAGGCAGAGGGAGAAGCAGGCTCCATGCACCGGGAGCCCGATGTGGGATTCGATCCCGGGTCTCCAGGATCGCACCCTGGGCCAAAGGCAGGCGCCAAACCGCTGCGCCACCCAGGGATCCTGCTGCTGAGGATCTTTAAACACAGGTTCTCAAGGCTAGTGTCCAAGTTAGTTTGGGCAAAAATCTAGCCTGGAGGCAGAGGGTTTACAAAGTACCCCTCCCAGCCCTCGGGGAAATGGGAACCAGCCACATTACTAAGAGAAGCAGCGTGAGCTAAGCTGGCGGCAGTAGGTAGGAGGAGTGGGCACCAGGACGCAGAGAAGGAACATGAAAGACATCATCTGGGGTCAGGTGGCAAGCTCAAGGAACACATGTGCTGGTGTGGAAGGCAACACTGAACCTTGTACCTGGTGCTCTGTGCATGGACTTGTGGTCCTGACCTCACTTCTGAGCACCAGACCCAGAGCCATCCTCCTTCTGGACATGACCTATTGCTGTGATCAGCATTATAGTTACTACGTATCCTCCCCTCCCCACACCCACTGAAATATGAAACCTCAAGGTCTCAAACAGAACTCCCCATTTTTTATTCTCCCACTCTGCCTTAAGCAAACTTCTAGATTCTTCCGTCACTGGTAACTGCCCAACCTTCACCAGGTACCTGGGACAGAAACCCGGGAGCAGTGCTGGCTTTCTGGGTGTGCAACCTCTGCATTCACACAGGGCCCATGCTTAGAAGGGCCGCACACATGTAACGCTCTGCTGTCTCTAGCTCGAGATTCTTAGTAAATTCTGAACGAAAGGTCCAGCACTTTGAGTCTGCACTGGGCCCCTCAAATTACATAGCTGCTCCTGCCAGGGAGTCAGGAGGCTCCTCTACTCCAGCGGCGTCCTGCTCCTCACAATCAGGCCTGTTCTTCCAGTGTGATCCTGAGACTCTTTCTCCCCCTGCCCCCTCTTTGCTATTCTGGACATACTAGAGCCAGCCTGTCTGGGTTGGAATTCTGGCTTTCTCACTTTCAAACGTATGCTTCATCTGCCTGGAGCTCTGTTTCCACTTTTGTCAAATAGTGTCGATGCTAGTGATGATCTGATAGGGTTGTTCAAAGGATGAAAAAGCTGATTGCTGTAAAAGGCTTAACACACAGCCCGGCACATACTAAGCACTCAATAAATGACGGCCCAATAATGTCATCATTTCCCCCCACCCAGACCCCTGCTGTCACTTTCCTAGGCCAGGCTGATTCATC